AACCTGCGTGAATGGTGGGACTTTGCTGTCTGCGTCTCCCAGCAGATGTTTGGGTAGTTTAGGTCCCCCATGATTACCATCTCCCTAGTTTTTATGGTCTCCGAGAGCTGCCTCAGGCGCCCCAAATCTAGTTCTTCCCCTTGGTGTGGGGGTCTGTAGCAGACCCCTACCACCAAATCCCTTTCTCCTTGACCTCCATGTAACCTAACCCACAATCCTTCTACTTTCTCCTCCTCCAATTCCATTTTGATAAGGGTCAATGTATATCGCTCATTGACATAGAGCACCGCCCAGTTGTGGGAAGAATCCCACCAGGTTTCTGTTAGCCCTACTAAGTCATAGGTGTTTTCTGCAAGCAGGAGTGCTAGTTCATCCTGCTTGCTCCCCATGCTCCTGGCGTTAGTGTATAGGCACTTGAGCCCTGTGACTGGTGCCTTTGTTGCCCCCTGGCTCTGATGCCCAAAAGGGCCCCTTATTGCTTACCTGCTTATTGCTTACCTGTTGTGTACTGCTGGCCGCCCCATGGATTGCAGGTTCCCGATATTCTCCTTCTTCAGGCTGGACTGTCTTTGTGGGTGCCACATGGTTTGGTGGTCCACGGCTTCCCCCACCCTCATCTTCCCTACCCCACGATGAGCCTAGTTTAAAGCCCGCCTGTTGGCAATGGATTTACAACGCAGTCCTGATACCTTATTCTGAGCAAGTGCAACCCCTCTGGTTGATAACAGGCATTTTTTATTAATACACTATGATAGGATTAAGAGCAAGGCAGGCAAAGCAAGCAAGAGATCCCAGGAAGAGGGCCACACCTCATGCTACAAAGAAGGCAAAAACACCCACAGTTCATACCTATCAGACCACAGGGTAAAATGCCTTTCTGGCCCCAAATATTGGTCTTACCCTGAGAGAAGGGCCAAGACTTTCTAGCCAGGAACCTCTGGTTTTAAGTCCCAGCAGGAGCACAGCCCAGTCAATATCCCCAACCTTGGCTTCAGCCAACACCCAATGTTTCTGAGAAAAGCTTTAAAAACAAACAAACAAGCCCAAACAAACCCTGACACAAATAGCAGCAGGTGGGGGAAAATTCTCTCCCACCCCTGCATGGAAACCACCAAAGCTCAGAAGCATGGGAAATACCATAGTAGAATATAGGCATAGGCCTAAATCATCCCTGACCAGCTTTACATTGAACTTTCTACAGGTGGTTATTAATTGTATTTCATTTTCCAAATCTATTTCGCAATCTAGCAGGAACCACATTTACAGAAACAAAGTAAATAAAGGCTGCTAGGGTTATGACTTGAACACATACAAATGGATTTTGCACTTCTCAAGATGACTGGAGAAAAGCCTTCTGATAATTTTGCCCTTCATTTTTTGCTAGAGGCATAACAAAGCAGCTGGATGCCCAGGGCAGTGGTAAATTCTGGCTGCTGCTATGCTGCTAGTGTCTTGTGTGGTGTTAGTGCCATTTGATATTTTTCCATGCTCTCCCCATCCCCCTCACCTCTCTGCCCAAATTGATGTCCTGAGAGAATCCCCTGGTTGCATGGCCCTAGTTATGCTCCTGTCTTCATCTGTAAAATGGGAATATAATCTATTTTTATACAGGCTAATGTTTCATTATTCATTAGTGTGTATGAAGTACTCAGACCCAATTGTGAGAGCACTAAAGGAACAGGCAAGAGGAAATCAATAATTCTGAATTTAATGCAGGGCAGGATGATGCACATTAAATAAGGTCTGGGACCAGACGTTTACTGAGGAGGATAAAAAGAAAATCTTGATAAAAAAAAAATAATGGAAAAATATCCATTCACTGAAAAAGGTAGAGGTAGTGTGGAAAAGTTTGTGGTCATATAACCACAGTTTATGTTATCATGCTTATATAAGCAATAGACTAATTCTATGGTGCGTTAGTGTATCATGGCAACAGACAAGCTATTACACTAATCCACTGTAGAATTTGTCTACTGCACGTTACCATCACTAAAAAGGCATACACTGGCACTACTGCACAATAGCACTGGTTACTGCACATTCAGTTGGTACCTGTTATTACAGGTACCAAACTTAATGTGCAGTACCTACAGCACATCAATGCATGTGTAGACGTGCCTAGTGAAGCTATCTGGTACCAGATACCTTCTAGAACTTGTATAAACAAGTACTAATGACTGTAGAGTAACTGGAATTACTGTGCAGTAGTGTTGCCTAATGGCATTTAGGTAATGCTGACTGCACATTATCTCATTAATGCTGGTCAGTAGCATCATGCCATGCTTCTTGCCACCTGATGCTACTGCTCAGTAGTAACGAGCTACTGTGCAGTCAGCATCTCATGTAGATGTGTCCGCCGTAGAGGTACTGTTGCTTCTCAAAAAATTCTTTCAAGCAATCTATTAACATTAGAAGGGCTATATATTGCCTTTCATCTATTATATAACATACCCCAAAAGAACCAGAAATTGCCTAATTAAATGGTCATAATCCAAACAAATTGAGAGTATTGCAAGCACTGATGCACTTGAACCTCACTTTGATTCCTGGTCCACCCAAAATTTAAAACTAAGTGCCTAGCAGTGGCAGCAGCATTTCTAGTCAGGCCGTGTTGAGGGAGTCAACCGACTTCATTGCTCATTGTATTCTACCAGATACCTTCTGAATTCTTCATTCCACAGGTGTTGATGATCCTCGATCCTCTCTCCTTTCTAATGGTTTTGATGTTCCACCAATCAAACTATTCTTTCTTCTGCAATTATACAATCATAGAATTATAGAAACTTAGGATTGGAAGGGACCTCAGGAAGTCACCTAGTCCAACCTCCTGCTCAAAGCAGCACCATCCCCAACTAGATCATCCCAGCCATCCCAATTCTGTTGTCTATCAGTGATTCCTGGTAATGAAGCTCCTATTTCACAGCTCTGCAGATTGTTTTTAAATATTTCCAACGAAGTTATATTTGGTTTTGCTTTAATACAGTCCCAAGCCCCTAGAACATTACTAAATCTTCTAGTTTATTTTTAACTAGAGAAAAATCTGTGTTGTTTCATATGCGATGAAGCATCTCACCATCAGGGATTTGTTGATGTGGGGAATGGAATGTGAGGTGAGGTGGACTGTTAGCATTTTCATCTTCAAATACTTTCCACCCCCAGATCAGTAGTTCTAAAAATACCAGTTTTTCTCTTAAAGCAATACTGCTGCACTGAGTATTCTCTTTTAGAAAAAGGAAGCTTAGCCATCCAATCGACTGGAGTAAACAGTGTAGCTGCACTGGATCTGGCCCTGCTGAAATGTGCTATTCACAGACAGCAAGTCTTAATGCTATCAATTAGGACACCAAGCCTACACATGAGAGTTATGAAATGTTAATAAACTAGATGCTTTTGTCATAGTGCTTAACAGTTTCTGACATAGCTTTTTAGATGTTATTTGGTGCAATTTAATAAAAAAATATTGAATAGTTCAATACACAGACAAATCCCTTAAGTGAGCCAATTTTAAACTGCATCAACTATGATCAAATTAGCCCTGGTTAACAAAAATATAATAAATATAATCTTTAAGAAGAATGGATTTTGAAATGTGGCAGGTCTGCTGTAAGAGTGTACTTAGAGAAAGACAAATAAACTATTTCACTCACTCTGGGTTTACAGTTGTCCTATACATACAAAATATTGATTCTGTGTTCATAGCATCTTAGCCAAGGAGTGTTTGTAAAGAGTCCCAGGTAGTTAATTCAAATAGACAAGTCTGTTGTTATTCCCTCTGGCAATTTGTTGCCTTTCCCCTGCCTAAGACATGGAAGAAAGCAGGCTGAAATTCCTCATGGATTAGGAGCAAAGCTAATACTCAAAAGTGTTTTGGGTACAAAGAGACAGATTGTTTTTATAACAGAGAGAAAATTTTAATTTCTTGTGGTTGAAGGGAGGTGGAATCTGGTGGTCATGGAAACAGGAAAGCTATGTTCACTTAGCTGGAAAAAGAATCTTCATTTCTGTACAGAAGGCTGGCATACCTTGCAAGAAATATAAATGATGCCTATTCCTTTGGAAGTTCTTCATTATAGAGTGAATTATTCACATGTATAACTCAGTACCACAAAAAGCATTAGAAATGGTGTAAGTGAAGTGGAGTGTGGGTAATGGACAATAGAAGGTCATTCGAGGGTCCATATCATTTAGGAATGGCAGCCAGGGTTACAGTGAATAATAAATAAATTCCTGCTTTTGTTTCAGTCTGCTTCTTCCCAGCCTTTGATTGCACAGTTGTTGCTCTTCAGTGAGTTCTGATAAGAAAATAGACACAGTGAAAGTCTTTTTTCCTAACCATGTAAGCAAATATCCTAGAACCATACTAAAAATCTTCCTGACAGCCATATGCTAAGCCGAAAGATTCTCAATTAAATTTTTTGTAATTAAATCAACGGAAGAATGAGTGAGTAGTGTATATTAAGATTTATTACACCAACAACAGATCAAGAATAATTAGAGAAACACTTTACAAGTATTTGTACCACAGCATGTGTGTGTAGGATTGTTCAGATGTAGATTCTCACAATATAAGTGGACTTCAAGCAAAAATGAATTTTCAATTAAATTTCTGATGACAGATAAAAGGACTGTGAAGAGGTCAGTTTTTAAATTTTCTTTACATAAAGATGATACTTTGCACTTCTACGCTTCTTTCAAAGATCTCATAGGATCAACCATTTACTTCAAAATTAGTTTGGCTGGTGTAATATCCATTCAGCCACTTCTGAAATATAGCTACTTCTAATTAACTGTTTTTGAGACTACCATGACAATTTTGAGCAACAGAAAGATACCATAAACAGTTGAAATTACAATGGAAAATTAGATATGTGGAAGGAACCACATATTCACTGACTTGAGTGTGTAACCTGTTGCTAAAAAAACCCCATTACCTCTGTACCAGAGTACTGAATGGTAGCTAATATAATCTTATAAAAGGGCTTCAGAGGGAGTCCAGGGTGGTGACCACAACTTGCATTCTTGGCAAATTGTTAGAAACCATAATAAAAACAGAATTGCCTTTCACATAAATGAATAGGATTTGCTGGGGAAGAGTCAACATAGCTTTTGTAAGGGGAGGTCATCTTGCCTAAGAAATCTACCACAGTTCTATGATGTGTTAACAAGTATATGGATTAGAGTGACATGTTTGATATGTGTATCAGGATTTTAAAAGAGCTTTTGACACATCATGCACCAAAAACTCTTAATGAAATAAGGCTTTCATGGCAAGGTCTACTTGTGGTTCTTCAAAGTTATAAGGAAGAAGGCATAAGTGGTCCAGCCTAGTAGGTAGGCCACTAGGGAAGGGCTAGAGACAGGAGCTGGAGTCTGAGTTACCAAAGCCAGGGAGGAATTCCAGAGGTAGAGTCCAGATCACAGGCCAAGTCAGAACTCTGGAGTCAGGGACCAAAATATCAAAAATGAGTGGAGTTTAGAAAGTCAGAGTCCAGTAGCAGACCCTAGCAGGATCAGAAACTGGAAAACCAGAGAGTACATGATCCAGAGAGACTTAGTCACAGCAGACCTTCAGGGAAAACTGTTGGCTAACCTGCAATTTGCTGTCACAGAAGGACTTAAATGGGGAGGTTACTATTCCCAGCAGTCAATCAGGAGGCCCAACCAGTGGTCAGTTGGTTCATCACCCAGAGTGGGGCAGCCAGTTGGAGCCCCTGGAAGGTTTGGACAGCTGAGTAATTAGTACGGGCTAGGCTACCTGTTAGGGCCCCTGACAAAAGCAAGAACAGCTTGGTTGAATAGGCAACCTAATTATGTAAAAGAACAAGACCGTTCAGAAGAGAAAAAAGATCCTATTATCTGTGGCATGGTTAGACTCATGGATCAATAACTGGGAGGGGAATTACAAATCAAGTTGAAATTAGCACCAAAAAGATGAAGGAGGGTGAAGTTTGAAAGAAATGGCAAGGTCTATTTTGTAGATCAGCAATTGGCTAAGGAACAGAAACTAAGAATGGGTATAAATGGTCAGTTATTACCATGGCGAGAGGTAAGCAGTGGATCTAAAGTGGGCCTGTGCTGTTTAACATGAATGATTTGTAAAGAGGGGGGAAATAATGAGACGGCCAGATTTGAAGATAAAACCAGATTATTCAGGGTGATAAAACAAAGCTAACTGTGAAGAACTGCAGAAGTGGACTAACTGAATGTACAACCAAATGGAAGGCAAAGTTCAATGTCGATAAGTGCAAAGTTATGCCTTTTTTAACCAAGTGCATATGCATGATCCACAGTAGTTGTCACTGCTCAAGAAGTAGGGGGTTTTTGGTGATAAATGTATTGAAACAGCAGGACAGTTGGGAGAAATGTTAGACAAGTTCTGGGGCATTAAGCATCCTTCTTCATATCTGGGAAAGCAGCAAGCTAATTTTTCTAAGAATATTTTTCATAAACCAATCACTCCATTTTTGACTTCATAGTCCTTATGCTCACGGGAAATCTACAAACACCTTAAAAAAGCCAGGCCTGGGAACAAGAAATCATAACTATACTTGAATAAACACCATAGATTAAATATAGACAAAGGTTTCATGACTGGTGTTTTTTCTAAACTCCCATAACTTTACAGGTAATAAAGATTCTTTTCTGAATGGTCTTGTTCCTTTACATAATCTGGCTATCCATTCAATGAAACTTCTTTTGCTTTGAAATTACTTCGATAATTTATTTTTGTTCCTAGGTTACAGCCCTCCTCAAGTCCCTTACATGTATATTTCCTTTTACAAAGTTAAAGGCAAGTGTAATCAGGGGCCTTCTCAGGGCTGGTTTGATGTTGGCCCGCCAACCTGTCTCTGGGCTAACTGCCCACCTTTCTCACCTGCCTTGCCTTGATAATGAATGATTAGGATGTTACTCAGGCAGGAGGCTGCCCATTTAAGATGCCAGTGACCAGGGGTAATATCCCCAGCTCCGGACTGTCCTCTACACTGGGACCCATGCCTTGCAGATAGCATCCCACGCAGCTAAGCTCACCTGTACCCTTTCACCCTCTATGACTGTGGTCCCCTCCCTGGGACCTTTGGCCTCCCTAGGCCCAGACCCCACTTTTCAGGTCATTCAGAATCCCAAGCTTCTTGCTCCAGGCATCCTTTGTTTGTGGGCCACTGGCCCTTTTGACCCCCCCTCAGGTCCTGGCCCCAGTATAGGCCACTGCGGGTGCCTCGAGTTAGGTTTGAGTGGCTTTCCTTCTCTTAACCCTCACAACTCCACTGGAGGCCTCAAACCTTTCAAAGAGCTCACTGGCCTAGGCTTTCCCCAGACAGGACTGTGCGGGGACTGGAGGTTCAGGCACCGCCTGCCTGCCTTTCATCAGGGAGGTTCATGGTCCTGGCATTTCCTGGGGCTGCCGCACCACTGGCAGTCCCACCAGGCCTTCCTACCCTGGCAGGCTGCAGTTTTTGGTCATGCCTAAGACCTGGGGCCTCCTTCATCCCTATAGCTTCAGCCCATATGCCTCCAAGATGTTGTAAGCCTCAGTTCAGCTAGCTGATAGCTCCCTCACAGCAGCCAGCAGCAAACTGCGGCTTCACCCTATATATATCCTGGGTCTCAAAATGGCCACCACAATCAAGCACCTGGCTGCTGCCTGCTCCAGGCCTTAAAGTGGCAGGTGCCAACAGTACCCTGCCACACAAGTTATTGTTTTATCCATTATTTAGCTTAAATTGAACTTACTTTTTTTTTTTTTTTTTTTTTTACAGACTTGAAGGGCACTTTATGTTCAAGAACTTTTTAAACTTCTCTCCCAACTACACAGTTAATCCAATAAAAAGTTATCTCCATAAAAACCTTGCTCCTCTCATATTTTCTGGACTATCATGACTACAATACACTCTCCAGCCCTGGTACTACTCAAAGAAGAGTATCTTGGAATTAGTGTGAATGTTTCTTTGAAAAATATCAGTCAAGTGTTCAGAAGAAGCCAAAAAATGGAAATAAAATGTTAGGAATTAGTTAAAGCACAGAAATAGCACAAAACCACATCTGTAAGTCTGGAGAGAGGAGAGCAAACTTATTTTTGAGATAAGTGTACCAAATTACACCCAAGTCCATCATCTGTAACCCTTTTTTAAAAGCATTCCTTAAGCAAACAGAAATTAAAGAACAGGCACTCATTAATATAATGAGAACTATATTAAAGACTGAAGGCCCTTCAGTCCTGGCAAAGTGATTAGATGACTTCTGTGCCTCACTGTTTCTCTGGGAGAGGGTGACAGTACTAACAGTATTCTTCTATGCATGTTTTAGAGATGCCAAAGGAGCTGGAGCTTTTAACATTTGAATTGTATGGGCAAGAAAATAAAACAAGCTAGATCAACCAATCAGCTGATTATCATTAATGGAATTTAGGATGTGGTTCAAAAAAGTTGTTTCAAAGACTGGTAAGAGTAGGCCAATGATGGAAAAGAAGAACAAGCACTTGACTATCAGTCTTACTAGTCATATCACTTTGTTCACATTAGTAGATTTAGTAACAGGAGGAAGATACTGAATCTGTATAGAAAGAGGAGTAAAACCATCATTTGGCAATATCTGTTTGATGAAAGGTCTTTGAATTGAATAGTTACAATCTACACTTGATCAATGGATAATTGGGAGAGGGAAGATGGGTTCTAGTTCATGCTCCAGTGAATTTTAAACACTTGGCTACTGGGTAAATGAGGACACCCTCTCTCAATTAGTGAACAGAATTTTTTTTTCCAGCTGAAAATATTTGGCTAATACAGTCCAAATTAATTAATAACTTTGGATTGAAAAAATACTGTTTAGGTCAACATGAAAAATGTGTGTCCAGTCCCATAGATAAGCATTACTGTAAAGGCAGTTGCAGTAGAAGAAACAAGAGGGATTTCAATCATTTTGAAATATTGACAAAGCAAGTTTCATGTTTCTAATTAAAACCACACATTTAGAATTAACATCCTACTATGTTCTTTTTTCATTCAGACTCGACAGGGAAAATTGAAGTATCTTCATAATGACTTTTAAATCACAAGAATTCAATTCTTTGCAAATATAGTTTTCTATGAAATAAAGATTGCATCAATCTACATTAGTCAGTTTTTATACCAATACATGTATTTTTGTTTTCATTAATATATAGTTAACTCTTTTTTGTACTTACAACAACTATTTTCCATTCATCAGAAGCATTATCCAGTATGCCAGGGGTAACGAAGAGAGATTTCCAACTTATTTAAATAAAACAAAAGGGCTTGACTGACTGCCAGGGATA